GAGAGAAGAGTGGGGCAGCACCTGCTAACGGAGACAGCCGATCCCTCTGCAGTGGGTGAGGTACCCAGCACCCCCAGCCGCTCACCCTGACCGTGAATGGCCAGTGAACAGCCTCAGGAAGGCAAACATGACTTGCTCTTTGCAATGGGATGGTCGTTCCAAGTTTCAGCTTATGGATTGTTTGTGAACCCCACGCTCTGGCTACAGCTTCCACCAGGCGCCTGTCTGCAGAGGGGAGTGGGAGGGGCAAATCCAGCCCCCTCGGTCTGTTCCCAGCGGGGCACCCAAAATCCTTCTGAAAACATAGGTCTGCATTTCCAAAATGTAGGGGAGGGCAAGGGACCCGAAGGGGTGCTAGGAGGATGGCTGTGGAGGTCAGGGCTGCTGTCGAGGAGAGCAGAAGCCCCGGGGTCCTGCAGACGGTATGGTCCCCAGCGAGAGCCCAGGTCAGCAATGCCAGAGCTGAGGCTTTGGGCTGCATGAGCAACTGGGGGAAAAATAAACCGTATTCACATGGGAAAAAGACAATGAGCTACATGTAGTGCTGCAGTTACCTCCACTCGATGGGTGCCCCGGGCCGGAGGAACCTCCTTGGACGTCCATAAAAGCACTTGAGCATGAAAGTGCTTTCTGTGCACAAAATGAATAGCAATACTGGAAAAAAATCAACATCCCTTAATACGATAATTTTATGGCAGGGGATGCGGGGTGAGCAAAACTAAAGCCTAAGGAATAATTCCACTCAACAGTGTGAACAATGATTACAAAATTATGCAACTGATTAACCATGGCATATATGTAATTACTAATGAGTTTGATAAAATTTTAATTATACCTTGTTCTTTGGGGCATTCAGCAAGCCATGAAAATAATCATCAGTGTAGCGCTCTGTCACAGATGATTGCCTTGGACGGGGGAGCAGTGACGGATGCAGGGCTGTGCCACCGGGATGAGCAACCTGCAGCCCTGGAGCAGTGGGGGCAGCCGGGATGGCAGAGCAGCCCTGGGCTCGCACGGAGACATCCCCAGCATGTCTGCTCGCGGGCTGAGCCACGCAACACCCTCAGCACCGAGCCTCCTCGGTGAGTTATCGACCAGCAAAGCCGTGGGACCCGCTCAGACTTTGTGCTACCCCCGCCGGCCCCTCCAGCACAGCCCACACCCCCTGCTCTGGTGCATGCATCACAAATGCCACGTGCCCTGGGGAAGCAGGCTCCACTATGATCTCTCCAGGGAGGGTCTCCTGGGTTTTGCTGCCTCCAGGCTGGGGGAAGCAGAGCCAGACCCCCCCAGCACCCTGCCAGGGGCCGTACCTTGGTCGTCTTCACTTTGTTGCCGCTACTGCAGCTCCAGCCCGAGAGGTCGGGCAGC